CCCCAAAACCCCAAAACCCCAAAACCCCAAAACCCCTCAATAGTATCAGAAGCTTGAAGAAATTAATTATAAAATTATTATTTAACTTTGGTCATGTCCTCTGCCAGCTTGAAGGAATACGAAGACAGTGATGAGGAGGAGACCCTCCTCACAACAGTTGAGTATTACACTCTAGACAATATGATAGAGAAGACAGGCGGCTTTGGCCGCCTGCAAATCGCAATATTGGTCTGTATGCTTATCGCTAATATCCCTACTGCGTTCTATAGCTATGGGCTCCCTGTCCTTGAACAATTTCCTGATTATGTGTGCACAACCGATTCTGGAATGGACTATAGATGCAAAAGAAATCAAATATGAATTAATGGGATGCCTAAAGAAAGCATGATTTGGGGTATCAACTGGGACAGTAGTCGAAGCATCAACAACTGGGTTGATGAAATGGACTTAATGTGAGCGACAAAATTTCAGATTGGACTTTTTGGCTCAATTTACTTTCTTGGATTTGCCTTCTCTGGAGTCTTTCTTAAATTCTCAGACCACTTTGGAAGGCGAAAAATCATTCAAGTCGGGTGTTTATTCTCATGCTTTATAGTGACTTATCTCTACTCTTTCTCAGGTCTGTATGCAAGGTATACAATGCTTTTCTGACTTGGTGCATTATCATTCCGACTTTTGGCTCTATATATTCTAATTTCTGAATTATGACCTGTACAATACAGAATCTACGTCAGTGCAGGCTATGCTTTAATAGATCACTACATTGGAGTGCTCTTACCAGCTATCTATTTTAGATTCATAGGAAAAGATTATAAAGTAATCTTCTCTTGAGCGGTCTTTGCTGCTCCTTTATCATTCATTTTATCAATGTTTCTCCCAGAATCACCAAGATATCTGTATGAAAAGAGGAAAATAGACCAACTTAGAAAAGAGTTTGAGAAAATTGCAGAGTTCAATAGGGTAAGAATCCCTTCCAAATATGAACTCATTCTTAATGATGGAACTTCTGTGGAAGATGATGACAATAACTTTAACAGAAACTTATGTAAAATGATCAAGAATTTTAAAATTTGAATGAATCTCTTGGTTTCAACCCTGACAGTATCTATTGTATCGTTAGATAACAACCTTCTACAATATCACAGCAAATACTTCCAAGCTAATAACTATGATGTAGCTTTTCTGATGCTCCATGCTGAAATTATTGGCACAATAATTGCTGTCTTTCTTAGAAAATGGCTTTCAACCAGAGTATTAATTGTATTGTCATTTTTATTAATTTCAGCCTGAACTTTGCCTCTCATCCTGATTCCTCAAGTTGACTCAACAACAATGATCTCAGTCTTTGGATGTCAAATGGGGATCTCAATGGTGTTCTATTTGTCCTTGCTAAACATATCTGAAAACTTCCCACCATTATTTGTAGCACTGGCGTTCTTTGTTTGAAACCTCTGAGGCTCAATGGCAAATATTTTCTCTCCTATTCTTGCAGAAGCCACTCACCCAGTGCCGATGAAAATAATGTTTGGCGCTTCTATTGCCCAAGGGTTGCTGAATATCATCTATAAGCCCAAAATAAGCACTTAAAAAATAAAAAGCAATTCAATATCACTGTTGCTGGTTGGGGTTTTGGGGTTTTGGGGTTTTGGGGTTTTGGGG